TCCCCTTCTGGAAGGACTTCTCTGTTTCATCAGTCGCGCCGATGAATTTAGGGGCCCATGGCGTATCAACGTCTCCTCCCGTGCCCGCTGTGGGCATGGCACATCCCGGCACGTCCATCCCTCTGGCCAATCGCACCCCTATCAAGTCGTTCAGCTTCTCCTTCGACAGGTTCCCGGCATCAGGACTCGCCTGGGGTGGCGGCTTCGTCGCCCCTCCATGCGACCTTGGCCTATCCCAGTTCGCTATCACCCTCTCCAGGTAGTCCGTGGCATCCGTCACAGTCGCAGCTATCAGAGGGATCTTCTCCCTTATCCATGCTTCAGGATTCCGCCTTGTACACCGTAGTACCTCCCAGAGATACATAATCTTGTGCACTCGCATTCTATCCACATCGTATCCCACGGCTGATCGCTTACCTCCTTTCTTCGCCGTCTTGGCCTGGGCCTCTTCCGCTCGCACACCAGCTATCCCACTGCTCATCCATTTCTTGAAGTCTGCATCGTCCTTGAATTGGCTGGGGATAGCCCGTCTAGCCCATACCTCCTGCACCTCTAGATTTCCCTCCAACATCCAGTGTATTCTAGCCTGTTCTCGCTCCTTGGTTCCAGCTGGCAGATATGAGTACGTCGTCACCCCTGGCACTCCATCCTCCGTCTCGGCCTTGAGATATCTATCCGCGTCGGAAAACACTTTCTCCAGGAAGTCTATCATGGCCTGTGCTCGATCACATCGTTCCCTCTCTCCTGCATCCCTGGCCTGATGCTCCGGGCGTTGCCATCGTATCCCTATTGTCCTCGAAGACGAAGCTGTCCCAGGATCTTCACTGCTTCCGATATCTCTATCCCGCTCACTCAGCGACACCGATCCGAACATCTCTCCCATGGCTCCACGCTATGCAGGTCGCTAGAGCCCTCTTCTTCCTTACACCTGCATGCAACTCAAGGTCACACAAAAGTCGCTCTAGTCAAGACGTCGTTGAAGAGCATTACAAAGTGCTTCAATATTCACCATATCGCTACTTTCTATCCGAGCCTTTGATTCTTCATTAATGTATATGGTGCATTGTACGTCCTCTCCTTTGTCATGAAGCTCTCCTATCTGCGTCTTTCCCCGCATTCGAGCCAGTTTTCCACGTGCAGCAAGAATTCTCGCTATTCCCTCGGATATGGCGGCATCACTGCGATTGATCAGAACAATCCCGATGCCCGCAGCGATCACTCTATCGACTAGTAAAGCTAGGCTATCAGCCGCACTTTGGTCCTTTCTTCCCAGCTTAAGCTCTGCTCCGCGGGCTAGTCGAGAAGGCGAGTCAACTCGCTTCGGTGCTATCACAACTATCCCGTCGCACTCACCGACGATCGCCTCATCGACCTCCAGAATTGGCGAGTGTTTGATATCCCACACCATTTCCCAAATTATCCATCTTCCCACTATGGACGTTGCTATCCCGACATTATCCCTGATGTCATACTCGAGCTGATTTTGGGATACCCCCCCCCACGCGGGCATAGCTAAGATGGTTCCCGTTGCGTTCCCGAACTCCTCTTCACCGAAATGTGCGGTAGTGTACATATCCCTTAACCACTCTCGTGCTTCATTGATGGCCTTGGTCATCATGTTGGCAGCCTGATACTCAGTAGGACAATTGACAAACGTGAACATGACTGCCTCGTAGAACTGGTTCAGCCTAGCTATGTCTATTCGTTGTGTTCTAGACAGGTACCTCATGTTCGGATTCTTGCCCGAGACAATCACTCTAACAGCCGCCTCATTGTCTTCTGCCACTATCAAGGGTTCTATACTCTCCTTCATCATCTCCCATAGTGCCAACCCCGGTATTCCCTGTTTCGTGATGCCATCGTGCAGGGCTACTATCTCAGCTTCAGGGGTACTTTTGGAGCACGACGTTTGCTTCTTACAGTAAGCAGCTATAGGAACGAAAGTGTGCGGTCCTTGAAGACAAAGATATACCCCCGACGTAGATCTATGGTCGTTCTTGTCGCTGGCAAGATCGGCGTCGCAGTATAGTACAAGACGGATGTCTCCTATCCTATCCCCGACCCATCCGTAGAGGCTCGTTGTGGTCGTCTCGTTGATGTATGAGATCAGTCTATGCATTCTCTTGTCACAGAGATGTGTCCAGGTCGTCAGCCTCGACGCCAGAACCTGTACCGGTCGCAGTAGGTCATACCTTCCGACTCTGGCCCCATACAAGATCTTCATGAGTACCGCAGGGGCGTGCTCTTTCAACACTCCCGGCCCCTCATCCGGCAGCTCGTACTTGGCTATCCCCATAATTTCGTTCACCTTGTCGTCTACTTGGGTTCTCGTCGAACTCTGGGCGGCTCTCGTCGAGATATGGGGTCTTAGCTTTATCCAGTGGCTTAGGATATGCCGTCGAGCACAACTCTTGATATCTATCCACACACTGCTTCATGAAATCGGTAACATCATATCGAAGGATCCTGATCTCATCTGGACTATCTTCCTTCGCCTCGGCCTTCCCCGCGAAATTAGGCGGTTCCTTCTTGGGCTCGATGATCTTCGTCCACTCGTGTCTCGGCTCAAACGGCGACCGAAAAGGTATCGCGCTAGCCGTGTGCAAGCATCCCAAGTATCTGCCCATACTTCGTGGCTCTTCGAGCTTGATTCTCTTCGCCAGCTTCTCCCATCCTATCGCTAAGTTCTCTTTGGGCCCCGCAAGCTTGAAGTCGTCGACGTAGATCACCAGCATCAGCTTCAGCTCCTTATGGAAGAACACACTAGGCCAATCTGAGAGGAATTCGAAGCCGACCTCAGTCACGGCCTTTTCGCAGTGCTTTTCCCAGAACCCCCCGGCATCCGGATGCCCGTATAAAGCTAGTCTCAGTGGCACCACGGGGTCGTCTATGCCCTCCCATTCATCTGGCCACCTATCCCTCGGGATCCGTATCCATGTTTTAGGCCCCCCCCAACAGCGCCTGCGTGTATGCCGACTCACCGTCCGACATCTCGATGTCATGTCCTGGCAGCATCCCATAGGCATCCGCCATCTTGCCTGCCTCAAGTGTCGCGGGACATGATGTGATTTCCTGAAAGATGGCCCACTTTCCCTCCTGGTCTTTGACATGACATCCCTCAAACACAACTCTCCCCTTATACTTTCTAAGAGGATCGTCTTCAGCAAGCTCCCAGTTCTTTTCCACACAGATGTCAAAGATACGACCTACATGAGCTATTTCCCCTCTATCCATTGCCTCCCGTTGTACGTCCTTCCACGAACGCACCTCCTCCATTATCCAGACCACTTGATCCATCAGCTTTTTCCATTCTTTATCAAGCGCTGCCCGAGCCTTGGGGTTGATCGCCCTCTCAGCCTTCGTCACGGGTCTAGCGACAAGTCCGAAAACTTCCTCGATGTCCTCCTCTTCGTCCTCTATGATTGTGGCCATTAGTGGCTCACACTCTCCCACTGTCTCGTCGATGCTATCACACACTTCATTTTCCGCAACCTCTTCCCAACTATCCTCTTGATCTGCATCCACCTGTATAGCAGGGACTGCGACTATTCCATCTCCATACTCCTCGTCTTCAGTCTGATAACCCTGCCGGATCAAATTATCGACGGGTGTAGTATGCTTGTTCATGAAGCATGCGAAGCAAAGCGTCATCGACGTGAGGATCAAGCTAGGTACCTTGGCTTTTCCCTCCAACAGTCGTCGACATTCTCGGCACTTGTATGTCCTATTCGAGACATGCTTGATGCCGATTCGCCGCCTATCCTCATCTCTACTCCTCCTTGCTCTCAGCCCATGATCCACACTATCCCTGTCTCTTTCCCTCGCACGGGCCTCCCTTGCCCAGATTGCTTTCTTGCTCTCCCGATGTGCCCTACGATGTCTCACTTCCTTCACGTTCTCAGGCATCATGCACCCGCGCATCCTCGGCCGTAGACATACTCCCTTAGCGAATTCCATTCTCATGATTGGCCCCCCTCCTCCTCCAAACGTGATGGGAAAGCTATTTCTATTCTGTATAGCCACCAGGATCTCTCGCTCGGGTGATACCTCGTATCCTATGACGTCGCACATGGTTTCTGCCACAAGCTGCCCGAGCGCAGACACTCTTACACTGGTGCCAGGATCTTCCGGATACGCTATCCCAGTACGAACCCAGGTGTATCCTATCAGTGGAACATGGATGTCGTCCTTTAGTTCGAGGACTAGTGCGTTCCTCTCTGCCTCCCACATGACTATGTTGCATTCGCCCTTCTCCATAGTTTCGAGGTTAATGGTTTCGGCGTGTCCGGCCCTGAAGAACGCCTCATCCACCGGTTCCCGTTCCTCTTCTAGGTCTGACAACGTCCATCCTTCCGAGTCAAACACATCGCTCTGGTCGTCGAATCCGGGGTTTTCCTCTCTATCTTGGTCATGGCGCCGATCTGCGTCGTGGTTCTCCCTCTCCCCGGTCAGCACTATCATCCATCCGTCCCCGTTCAGGTCTCCCACCTCAAGCTCTTCTCCAGGGTAAGCTACTGCGGCCCCTCCGGTGCTATGTCTGATGCGGCGACTGTTCTGCTTCGTCATCATAACCTTGCCTATGTCGTCGCCGTCAACCAGGATCACGCGCAGATCTTGTGTGTGTTTCGCTCGTGGTCCGAAGATCTCCCTCAATGCCTCTCGGCCAGGATTGTTCATAACTATGCATCTTTTCCATCTGATCTCCTCACGACTGATGTATGGTGCCCCATCCTCGGCCGCCGCAGCAGCATAGTTCCTTATCAGCGTCTGATCTTCTCTATCCGTAGCATATTCTTCGTGCTCGTCGTCCCCCTCCATGTCTATCACCCAATATGAGTTTCCTCCGTTCATTCTTCTCTTGGCTATCTTCAACAGCCTTTCTAGTGATCCCCCAGTCTCGTCGCCTCTAATCGTTCCCTTTTCCAGCTGTGCCAAGGAGTCCACGTCCAGTGTCACCATACCACTGCTATATCCGAGATAGCCTCCCCCGTGTTCTTCACATGCCATCGACACCGAATCACCCTCTTCCTCGCCGCAGATGTCTATCACGTCCTTTAACACCTTGATCATTTCGCGTATCGCTTTACCCTCCTGCTCTCGCCGTACGTCTATTTTCGCGTCCGATGTCCTCACTATGCGCGACATCAAGTCATGATCCCTTGGCATGTGATCGCATGCTAACATGTCCGCCGCGATCGCATTCATCATGCATGGTGTGACGACTCCTATGTAACACGAGGCGTCTACCCCGTCATGCATACCCAGCATGCATCCATCACTCCGCACTATCCACATGTCCCAGGCAAGCGCCATTCGAACAATGGTCTCGTCAGCCATTCGACTTTTACCGCCTATCCAGATGATCGTGGCCACTATTCCTCTGCTGTTGGCGTCTGTGATAACCTTTTCTACATTGCCAAATACTCTTTCTCGAGCCTCTCGCGTACTATCTAGGCCTTCCTCACGTCTCCACCCGGATGCCTTCCGATCAACCTCTGTCCTCATGCCGTCGCTAGACGCATCGATAGCAATGACCACATCCGTCACACCCTCTCCTATCACGCATCCTTCCCCCGATATCCAAGATACGTTCTCACCTCCGTTACCCCCGATCTCTTCTAATCCGACCTCCATGATCTGCACTTTAGGCTGTTCGCCCAACTCCCTCATCATTTCCCCAATGATGTTGTCGGACGGTGTTCGCGCTATTCCAGCTGTGCTGCACAATTGGTTGATGGTTTTCGTAACCTCCTCAGTATCCCCCATCCTGGACGCCGGTGCAGCAGGTTCTGCTGATTCTCCTCTATCCCTGATTCGTCGGTCTTCTCCTCCGTCGGGGATGTACCAGAACTCCGTGATGATGTCCCTGGGCACAACGAATCGGTATCTCCCTCTATTGCGCATCATCTCTGCCTGTATACAAGAGTCGTACTCAATGGATTCTAAGACCTCTCCAGTATTAGCGCTCCGAGTGACCCTCCACCAGAGCTCAAGCCGTCTTTTGTCCCTTCCGCCATAGAATCGGTAGGATGTGGCGCGATTGTTTCTTACTGCCCATACTCGGCCACCCTCAGGCATTCCCGGTGGGGGATCCCATCGGTACTCCGGCGGTGAGAATTCCTGGCCATGGTCGGTGATTTTCTCCATCCATTCTCGAACTCCAATTTCTGCGGGACGCGGTCCTATTTCCTCTTGCCCTCGAACGGCCGAAGGGGGCCTCTCTCCTCTGATGATCCTCTCTTTGTCTCCCTCGATATAACGTAGTCGCTGTCCCGGGCTCATCCTATTCCACTCTGCTGACGAAATGGAGTTGGGTTTGTGAGATCTCGCGTACGGCCGCTCTATTCTGGGCATGTCTTGTTCGTAGTCTAAACCCACCCCCCGTATACCCGTCGCCTTCTCTCCCCGCGCCCGCTCCTTGGCTTCATCATCTATCTCTCCCTCAGGCTCCCCCTTTTCCCAGAACGTAGTGCACCCCGTCCATTTCTTGGTGATCTTCTTCTTGCCCTTCATTCTATCCTCATCCAGCACCTCCGATGTACCATCGGCGTACACTATCCCCGTTCGCCTCCTTGGACCCAGCTCTCTATCCCCGGGGCCACCTGTACCTTTGACCTCCTCGCCTGGGGTACACAGCTCCTTTCGGGGTAAGATGTGATGAAGCGTCCACGAATGGTCTATCTCATCATGTTCCCAGAAATCCCCGTTTTGAAGATGCTGATCGTCGCACTTAATTTGTCTCATCACATCGGCTCGTACCCTTCTCTCCTCTGCGAAGATTTCCTCCGTCTCCTCTCCTTGCTGCCCCTCTCTCTCCAGTTCCAATCTGGCCAGGGCATCAGCTCGAGTCGCTGTCATGATTCTCGACTTCCTATCAGCCACAGCTTGCGTCGGGAAGTAGTTGGGCATCTCCTCGTCAAGTACTATCCTCTTCACGCGGTGTATCGACGGTACCGTCCATCCGTGATACAGGTGCGCCAGCTCAACCACTATATAGTCTCCGCTCGGAACACCCCCTGGTTGGAGCGCGTAACCTAGGAACAATCCGGGTGATGTCGGAGTGTCGAACTTCGCCTTGGATGCCATGGCATACGCTTGCTCTTCCTCGGCGTCGTGATCTACATATTCTTCCCCATCCCCACCATCGTCTGCACACGCTGCCTGGCATAAGCCATCCGCTAACGTCGCAAAGTGCTCATCCAATCTGAAGCCCAGCCTCATCAACTTCCACTTGTCGTCCACAGATGCCTTTTTACCCGCTGCCAGGGTATATCCCACCGCTATCACTCTATCCTCCGGCGCCAAGGCATCTTCGGTAGCATGCCAAACTCTTGGATTGAACTTTAGCCCACTATCCACCTTCCGAGTCCTTCCCCATATCCATTTTCCCGGAAGCACCTCTTTCTCTATCCCGGCGGCCTTGCCACCCTCACTCGCACACTGTTCCTCTTCTGTCCAGATCATAGCTTCGCCCGCCCTCTCGCTTACCGGTACAACAAAGTTGTATGTCTGGCTCTCGTTAAACTTGTCCTTGTGAGGCCCCATCCTGGTTCCGACAGACACAATCACCGTTGTAAAAGTAGCTTCTGGGAAGCATTTTGCTATCAGCTCGCAGCACACCATGGCTATCCCCGGATATTCTTTGGCACTATTCGTAACGCCAACCTTTCCTCCGTACGCATACAGCCCCAGGACTATGAACCCTCTACCGGTGGCCATGCTCCGCGAATTCTTCGCTATTCCTTTTTCTATCGAAGTGAACTTCAGGATGATGTCCTTTGCATGCTGCACATCAAAGTCCTGCGTCATGACCATGTCGAGCGCACGTCTATCGATCTCTCTCAGCTCTTCCTCCCTTTGCAAGCGTTGTTCTTTAGTTTCCTTCGTTTCAGAGGGCAAGGCCATGCTCGAAACATCTTCATCAGCTCCGAGAATCTCAAGAGCGTCATTTTCAGGATCCCCCCGTTCGAGCAGGGCCGCGTCCTCTTTGCCAGCTTTTCTAGGCTTTTCGGCAATGGGGAGGTAGTTAACAAGTGCCCCGAAAGGAATCAGTTTCACTTTGTCTTGCTCGTTGCCATGTCTTTTCCCGTACGGGCTTACCCCGTCCACTTGTTGTACGTTCCTATGGAAGCAGAACGTCTGCACAGCGTACGGCCACCACTTCGGTTCTAGTCCTGCTTGTCTCAGCAATACTCTGCCACCGTAGATTACTTCTTTGACCTTGAGCTCCGCTATGCTATTCGTTCGGGGTAATCCGGGTGTAGAAGTCGCCCTGCAAGTTCCTATGACGTCGCAGGCTTTTGAGAATTCACCGGCTCCGTCTGCGTACAGATGCACTACCATATCTGGGCCTCGGAACTCATTGATAGCTCGCACAAACTCATCCGTTCCCCTGGACTTTACGGGCGTGCAGTGTACCCACTGTGTCTTGAAGTCGAACATCACGATTGCATTGTTTTCTCCGCGGATTCCCTTGTCTTTGTTGCTGCGAAGAACTATCGTGTCAGCAGTGACCCTCTCCCCGAACTTCTCGGCGCCCTTGTCTGTGATGCCTTCGCCCCTGTTGAAGGGGACGTTTATTGCTTTGCCTTGTCGACAAGCAACGCAGTGCATGTTCTTTGGGAGATGCGTGAGCAAATGTTCCGTCGATTTTGCATACTCCGGTGAGTATCTTGCTCTCCGGATGCTCACAGTTTTGCTCGACCCTATCCCTTCGCCAATTCTATCCGCAACTCGAACCTGATCCGCAGGTCTGTCTTCTGCCTTTGCTTGTTCCACTTCTCCCATGTCACCGGCGCTATCATCCTTCTGAGGCTCTCCCACTCCTCTTCTAGCCTGTTCTTCATCGGCTATTCCTGGCAAATCTATATCATCATCCAATTCGCCTCCGTTTTCGGCGCTTTCTTCCTCGCCGGGTACAGCGACGACTTGCTCCGCGATCCTTAGGTCGTCATCCGGACTCTTCTTCATTCCGTGGATGAGCTGAAACTCCGCATCCGTCATATTGCGTGCGCTTTGCCCCGCCTCAATCTGCTCAGGACTCAAAGCTCTTTCACAAAAACCGCATACCCCGGATGAATCGGCCTTACACGCGGCGCAGTAGAACGTCGTTCTCAGTCGACCGTCACCATCGTCTTGTTCTGTCGTTGTCTCCCTATTCCTCTCGTCTATCCCCTTTTCGACCACTGATGAAATTCGGTGGTGCTTACGCATAGTCTCCTTGATGGCTCGCACTAATCCCGGTGCCCACTCCGACCAGTTTTGTGACTCGCTCATCTCGCCCTTGCTTCTATCATCGCCATCGTTCGTCGCTCCGGTCCCTGGTCCTCTAAGATTGACCGCCCATCCTATCAACTCTGCGTCAGTCGCTATTGTGGTCGGCTTTCTCCTAGGGTGTCCCATCGGTCCCTGTTCGAAACTAAATAACTTAGTCCCTAGAATGGCACTCGTCCTATCCCATTCTTCAGTCGCCCACAATGACGCGCATCCTCCATCTGGCGTCTCATCCCAATATGTTTCGGGGTCCTGGGGTTGCTCAATGAGGCACATTGTTGGGGCTCTCAGTCGTCGGTGACGTGCCTTTCCTATCACCACAAGCATGCACACGCGCAGTATGATGATGTCGTCGTCACGACACTCCTGCTTCTGTGCCCAACTGATAAATGAGTATCCCCACCGCTCTGGTCCATTTCTCGATCTAAGTGGGATCGGACCCGGCCTTCTGTGTCTCATCACGGATCTTGTTCTGCAAGGCGGTCCAGCTAGCCAACAAAACACCAAATTAGTCGTAGCCAGCTTCACTAGCCACCACCATGTATCAGATTGCAGCACGTTCTCCTCCATGTCGATGTCTATCACACCCATTTCTAGTTCACTTGCGACGTCGTCAAACTTTCCCCTTGACTTTCCACAACAAATGTGCACAATAACCCTTCTGCTCCCTTCCATCGCTTTCCTTATCTTCATGATTTCAGGTCTCGTTTCTCCCTGGGGTTTTTGCGCCTTTCCGCCGTCAAGTATCTCTTGTGGAGCAAGCGGCCACAAACATCTGGCTATCTCGACAAGCGTTTCTGCCTCGCCACCAGTACCAATGTTCTTGTCTAACATCATTAGTAAGTCGTCTAGCCCCGTGGTTTCGTCCGCAGCCATTCTATTCAAAATGTGTTTTCTCACCTTCACGCTATCGCTCTGTGCCGCTTCCCCGGCGTCCGCTCCTTCATAGGTTAGTCCTTCTATCTTGAACATGGTTTTGCCGGTCCACAATTCCTCCTCCGCTTCTCTATTCTCTCCCTCACTGTACTTATCCACCCAGTCTATCCATTCCGCCACGGTTTTGCCATCTTTGTACACACGTTTGGATCTACATCTCTCGGCGAATCGCGGCACAAGTGCATGTATCTCTGGGAATCTCAGTGTTTCAAACCATGGATCGCAAGCCTTCGTTCTTGGTTTGTTGTGGAAACACACCGCCTTATTACCCGTTAACATCCACTTGTCTAGTAGCCTCCCGTCGTCGTTGGCGGCCTTTCCTATCGGTTCCTCCTCGATGTCTCTATCCGTGTCCGAGTCCACGCTTTTGGGACTACATTCATCCTGTTTCTCTCCGATCCTCCTCGGACTGGAATTTCCTCGCACGGGCAATTCAATCGCAAGAGGCGCTGGCATAGCAGGATAGATGTGATAGTCACTCCGCTCACTTTCACTAACGACCGTTGACATTCTATCCACCATGTATGGGATATCCCCGATGACTTTTAGTACTATCAAGCTCGAATCAGGCTTGACGAACACGGGGTTCGCGCCCGCCAGCCAATGGAACGAATATCCCATTTTCATACATCTCCTCCCCATCGATAGAACAGCGGGAGTACTCTCGAGCATTCTAATCCTCATCGTCTCAGGCATCCCTTGAATATCCATGCATATTTCTTGCTTTGACGTGGTGTTGCCGTTGGCGGTGTTGAACCGCACTTTCTTCGCCTCAATAGCCATATCTTTTTCATCCTGGGTGAGGTCTGCTTCTGCTATCAGATCCATAGCACACCCCGAGTCGATCATCCATCGTCTCATTACCGATGGCAAACAATGCTGTGCAGACGCCGCCGGTTGACTATCCTCTCGACTATCCACGCGGAATCTCTCGTCGACTATACCTATTCTCCTGCATTCCTCCACTATCCTATCAGCCAGTCTTGAAGCATCCTTACCTTCCTCGCCTTGCTCTCCGGCAAGTATGTCCAGCACGACCTCTTCGGCTAGGGATATTCCTCGTAGCCTTGCCTTTGCCTCCTCAATCACGGGATATCGTTTCACATCATGTACATACCCCTTCTTGTGTACGTTTTTGCACTTTCGTACCATCTTGTCAGCTGTGTGTCCTTTCCAATAGCATATATCCAGTCCTGCTATCCCCGTCTCTTCGGAGCCCAACCCCTTGACTCGCCTATTACCCTTCTTCACTCGCTCCCTGCCTGTCGTTGTCACTAGTATTCCCCTATGCGTGCTTTCGGCGCCATCGTCTCCTTGTCGTACCACAGGCATGGCCGCATACACCTGACTTTCCTCGCTGGCCTGTGGGTTTCGGCCCGCCCCTAGCGAAAACTTGGCCCTTCACCATCAGCATGTGGACTCGATGGCCTTGTCTCCTTCTGCTCTATCTCTACTGTCTCAAAAGCCTCCCTAATGCTATTCGGGATAGCCTCGTGGAGCATTTTACACTTGTCATTTCTGCAGCTGCCGTACCGAAAATGCTCAAAGCAGTATCCCGCCTTCTTGAGGACCTCTTCCGCCTGACTATACAGATAAATGTCGTGCGAATGTTTGCAGTCCGCCGCAGTCATTGGGCACGTTCCGCGCGTATAGGGGTAGCAAACTCCTCTCTTCCCGAACGGTGACTTTGATCCGTACCTATTCTTTGGGTCATCAGCCCTCCCCGCCTGAGAAAGTCCGTCCCTTCCTCTGCCAACGGATATTCCTCTTCCGTATCCATTCCCACCTCCGGGCGATGAACTCCTTTGTCTATCATCCGCGTACGCGCTTCTTCTATTCACCGGCGCTCTATATGATCCCTGCTGAGCCGGCATCGCCGCATATCCACTCGAGAACGCCTGTCGGCTCACCCACATTGAGGCCTCGTCTATGTTCTTGTCCGCTCTCCACATCTCCAGTCTATCCTTGATTCTCTTTCGCAACCAGGTATGCGTCTTGGCCTCGTCCGGAAGCAATCTCCAAGCCTCAATATCGTGATTCAGCACCTGAACTCTCTGCACCTTCGAATGCAACATCCACCCCAGCTGTTGCTCGCTCCAGGTGTTGCCTTTGAGCCCTACAAGGTTCGTGTGTGCCAGATCCCATCTAGTCATGAATTCCTCCATTGCCTCCTCTTCGGGCTTCCCTGGGAAATGCATGACCTTCGTGCTGCTCAGACCATCGTACAGTACCTGACTCTCCTTAGCCATCGGGATCTCAACATGCTTCACTATCAGCGTAAGTAATCTCATGGCCGTCATCGGTTTTCCATCTCCCACTTTCTGGGTCTTGTACATCTCCATCTTCACCTTCGCTGATAATGACTCTGACTTTATCGCTCTCTTCAATCCGCTAAATAGCTGGTTCTCTAGCGCAGGGTACTTGAGCTCCATGTCTATCATTGCTTCGCTCCTTTCACGTACCTTCAGTACCTGTGTGTATGCATACTCCCCATCATACAGATACGCAGCCTTTGCGGTATGTGCAACATCGCCCAGCCACAATCCCACTTCTCCGGATGATGGCTCCTTCGCTATCGAGATCTCGTTGCATTTCTCCATCCCCCTAGTGTCCTTGAACTTGCTATACCCTCCGCCGACCGGGTTCCTGAATCTGGCATCATCCCCATCATGGTCGCGTCCACTTTGCGGTCTCGGAAGTCCTGTCCCTGCGAATCCTCCTGTGTCGCATCCTCTTCTATCGGTGGAGCACAGCATGCACAAGTCATCATGGTATTCATAGCAGTTGCCACACACTTCTCTTCCACAGCCCTGACATGCAATCATCATTTCTGCCTGTCTAACGCACACGGGGCACCTCCTGACCCTAGTCTCTTCTCCCAACAAACCTCCATCTCCTTGTCTATCCTTTCTTCCATTCTCTCTTCTATCTCCGAAGGAGCTTGGCGCAGGCGTAGCACCGGCACTTGCCAGCGTTCGAAGCACCTCCCGCCGCCGGCGCCGGCATCGCATACTCGGAGCTCTGCTTGGCGATCTCACCTATTCTGCTCCACATGCTATCCAGCTCAGCCTTGATGCTATCATTTCGCTTCACCTGCTCCAGTCTCCGTTCATATTCCCGTACCGCTGCTTCCAGCTGCTCGTTCTTCTCTTTGAGCTCTAGCAATTCCCTACTTCGGAGATCCAGATCTGCTCTCACTTTAGATACCTCATCTCTACTATCCCGGATCATCCGCGCTACCGACTCCGTTACGCCTTTGTTCTCCCCTTTCATGCTTTCTATCTCGCTGAGCAGACCAGCGTTCTCCCTCACGATTCGCTCATTCACAGTGGTCAATCCCTGCAATTGACTAGTGATCTTGATTACCTGCTGTTCTAACACACTGCATCTATTCTCGACCCTCCGATCTACCACGGGGCCCACCGTCTCCGTCCTCGAAGCTTCTATTCCTCGAGCGTTGTCACTCCTGGCTCTTCCATCAGCTCCCCCACCTCCACCGTGACTATCTCGCCCGCGTGACATAGTCGGCGGCTTTCCTATCTCCGCGCTGTTTCCTCGTGTCTTACCTACCCCTTCGTTCCGTGCACTCTCATCAATTCGAGCATTAACCAGAATAAACTCGCCCATAACTCTCTTCTGTTCATCTATCATTCGGCTCGACATCGATTCCATTGTCTTTTCCATTTTTCGCACGGTGTCCTTCACCCAGGCTTGATCTCCGTTTCTCCTCTCATCTATCCGATCGGTTCTCGCCGCAACATTCTCACAATTCTCGTGAACCTTTGTCATGTTCGCCACAATCTCAGCCACGCTTTTGCGGTTCTTTATCACCTCTCTCGCGACGGTCATTATGTGTTCCTTCTGCGCCAGGACCACTTCACTCAGCTTCTTGGTTTCGCTGCGTATTGCTCCATCTATGCATGTGCCGTGACCCTCGCCTGGCTCTCTGCACCCACATCCAGGACCTTTTCCTTGGGTGTTGCAATGGGATGACGATGCCTTATCTACTCCGGCGTTCTGGCTCCCCTTGGACTTCAGCTTCTTTAGTTCCTCACCTGCCAACTTGATCTGGTCCCAGTGTCTATTTAAGACTGTCTCTACCTTATCCAGTCTCTCGCTCTTCCATGTTCCATTCTCATGTCGCACGTGCATGCTCGAGAAAACTGCACCTATGCCGCGTCTCATCTCGTTCAACCCTGTCTCTATCGTAGTAATCTTCGACCCGGTACTCTGTTTGACCACGTCCGCTGAGTGCTCCACCGTGGATATTCGCTCCTCCACTCCCTTCAACCTTGTTGTAACAGAGGTCTTGAGTACCTTCACATTTTCAACCTGCCGTCTCATTCTCCGTGCGAGCTGCATGGCTCCCTCGGTCAGCGGCGAGGCCATTGCGTCATCCATCCTATCTTCGCTGATGCTCCCGTCCATGACCCGACTCATCTCTTTCAACTCTTGCGACAGTGTTGTCTTCGTATCTATCTGCTGCGATTCTATCCACCCTTTCCAGTGCTTCACCTCCTCCTCGCATTCCACTAATCTCTTGCTCATGACGTCCGCCTTCTCCGCTGAGCTATTGGCAATTGCACTTGCACATTCACTTGCCACCTTAAGCTTGGCTACGTCGGTCTGCGTATCCACAACCACCGTCTGCAAGTCATCTATCCTGCCGTCTATCTCTCCCAACGACGACTTGTCCGGATCGGCAGGAGTTCTCGTCTTTGCCCGCCTTGGCGGGGATGATGTTGCCCTCATCTCATCGTCCCTGCCTCGTCCTTCAGGAGGAGTATTGATCACGAACTGTTCGTACTGCCCACCTATCCCAGGGGATCGTGGGGCCGGGGATCGGTTGCCCCATCCCTCGCTGTCCTGATCCGGGGTGATCATTCCCGCCTGATGGATCGGTCCTCCGACCTCGGTCGACTTCGACTTCTTTGCTGCGGGGATGCTCCCGGCCATCTTGTTCATTTCTTTAACGGCCTGCTCTGCTCGTTGCTTACGCATTCCCTCATCCATCTTGCCTATCTTGCTCGTGGCACCGACCCCAGTCTCCGATCCACCCGGGCTATCCCTCTTCAAAGATGTAGATCGACCACCAGAGTGCCCACTATCCGACCCCATCGACATCTTTCGTGACCTGCTGCTCTCTAGCCCTGTGACCTTGGCACCATATATCCCAGCGTTCCATCGCTCCTGTGATTCCGAGTGCATCGTCATGGGCGTTGAGCCTGGGTTACCCGGTGCCTGATCCGTGAAGAACTTCACGAAGTCTGCATCTGTGATGACCCCCGTTTCTTCGAGAGCACTCCGGATCCCATGGGATCCCCACTCTATTCCGATCGTCGAAGTTTGACCCATCCCCACATCTTTCAACGCTTCAACATTCCCGCCTGGCGATGCCTCCGACAGCCCTGTTGACGAAAACACAGACAGCGCTCTATCATCGCTCTCACTGATCATGTTCCGTGCTACCGCTGAAGATCCCTTGGCTATCAACTCCAGATCTGTAGGATCGATACCGACATTCCCAATCATGGCCGCACTATTCGAATACACTCCGGGAACGATGTCGTCTCCATTCCTTCTGCCCATCCAGTGTCCGCTATCCGCACTTCTCATGCGATCGCCTTCAGCACCAAGCTCACCACTATTCATCATTGCATCTATCCCATCATCATTTCTCCTGATCGTCCTATCGTGATCTGACGATGATGACACTGCAAGGCTATCCACTCTATCCTCTATTGCGATTTCTATCCTGGATCCGGTGGTTCCCTTGGTATCTCCCGTCGTCTCTTGATCCGTCCCGTGGAGCACAGTCTCGGAGGGGTTGGCGAACGGCCCCTCTTCCATCCTTCCACCTAATCCAGCCAGATCCTCGATAGCAAGCGTCGGAGTCCTAGCATTTCCTGCCTCTATCCCACCTCTTCCGGCCCTATACTCACTTAAATCTGTAGCTCCCATGACTGGATCGAATACTACAGGACTGCTTGCAAGCATGCTGAGCTGCATCACTGCATCCCCTCTACCTGCGATTGACGGGACTGCGAGCAACTCCCGCAATTCTTCGCCTGGGTCCCTCCCCTGAGTGCTTGACGCGCCCGCTATCCCGGCATAGCCCAGCCCTCCCGACCTCCCCACACTATCCAGCGTCGCCACGATCTCCAAGCTTCTATCCGGCAGTCCTGGCGGTGGCCCTGGCACTAACATACTATCCGCAGCGCTCGACCTAACGTCTACAGTAAGCGGTCCTGACAAGCTGAGGCCGAAACGATCTCTATCAGCATTGCTATCCGTCTCCATTCCTGTCCTTCCACTATTCCGTCCGTCGTCGATGAAGTCCATGTTCTCGACGTCGGCTATACTTCGCACGTGACTATCAGCGGCGGCCACATTCTGATTGACCGCATTGACCTGGTCCTCGAGGAATCTATTCCCTGTTCCTAACACATCACTATCGCTAGACTCACTGCTCCCAATGCTATCACGTGTGGACATTGCTGCAGTCAATGAACACAAATGACAAATGCGGAAAACTTCGCTATGCAAGTGGTACCTCTTCGCTATACCAAGAAAAACTTCTCGAACAGCTCGTCCAGGCCAAGCGACAAGGCTCTTAACCTGTGCGAAGTGTCCAAACCAATGAAAACTTGCGCAACCCGTTCCAGTAACTAGCTCAGGCCACACGAGGAGAAAGAAGTTGTATATTTACAGTTGTAGGTTGTAATGTTGCACCAGAAGTAACAGTATCCCTGTCAACGGGGAACTCAAGGTAGCTAGCCAATCGTTCCGAGCCACTCCCGACGTTAACTATCGGAAGGATCCCCAGAGTTGCTATCTCCAGGGGGTGGTAACCTATCGCTCTAGATGTATCCACTAGCCGTCCGGCTGCGTGTTGTACACCTATCCCGATATTCACCTGAACAGCCACCTGCCCTCAGTATCCTCCGGCCTCCGGCTATGAGTTGTAAAGAGGACAGACAACTATCCCAAAGGTTAGGGAAGGATCTATCCCTCGTCAACGCTCGATCCTTTTAGCTCCTCTGGCCTCCGGCTGCGAGTTGGCTAATCAGATCCACAACGTACAGGGACACTATCCACGGGGGCGAAAACTGTACAAATCTGGCTGCTACGATACTAAGAAGGGCCCTTCTTGAGCAGCTCGCGGCTGCGAACGGACACGAAGTCCATATGCTATCCAGGCTCGTCCACGAGGAGGTCGGCATCTATCCCAGGCCCAAACCCGAAATCATTGTACAAGCTAAGTTCGCACCCCATGAAATTGACTTGACCTCTTTGTGCTAAACATCAGGAAGGCGGCATGTGACGAAGGCTCAGCTGGGCGCCCGGCTGGCATCCTCGGGCACTCGGCGAGGAGTGCAGCGCGCAGTCTAGCTGGGGGGGGGGGGTGGGGGGGCTGTTGCTACATGTTGCTACAGCTAGTTTAGGGTTTAGGGTTTAGGGTTTAGGGTTTAGGGTTTAGGGTTTAGGGTTTAGGGTTTAGGGTTTAGGGTTTCGGGTTTCGGGTTTACCCGAAACCATGTGCGCTCAATTGATGATTTTTAAGGAACAGGCACACCCCAAACCCTAAAGCCTAAAACCTAATCCCCCCCGCCCCCCAGCTTCAAAAAATTGCAACTTCACCAGGATTGGGCGTCGCTCGCATCTGCACGGGCAGGCAGAGAAGTTATTAAGTTAACACCCTTGCGCCGAAGGGTGCCCCAAGCGTTTAAACACGAAACCCTTCGCTCTAAGTGTTTAGGCGTTTTGGGTTTAGGGTTTAGGGTTAGGGCTCCACCGCATGCCCAAAGAGACCTGCCTCTGCCCAATCCGGTGCACACCCAAACAAAAGGCGCTCTGTTTCTGGACCCCTGAACCCGCAGCCCTCCCCCAAAGTGTGGAGGTTTTCTCGGAGCGGTCGTTAATTCACCCCGCTGGGTTCTGGGTTTAGGATTTAGGGGTACCTAAACTTTAGGTTCTAGGGTGCAGGTAAACCTTGGTCAAGCAAACCTTGGTCCAGTTGTGAGGCTATAATAACCTACTAGGCGGCGCCCTCTTACTAACTATAGGTAAGGGACGTAGAACGTAAGTTAACATGCTTACGCCCCCAAAGGCCCCTATCACACTACTTAGAGCCCTGAACCCCGAATCCCATTCTGAAGCTCTAAAGCCCGCATATATGAGTTTAGGGTTTAGGATTTAGGGTTACCCTAAACGGAATCCTGTGCCCGAATCTCAGGGTCCAGAAACGCCTTTGGAAGTCCACTGCCTTCCAGAGGGAGGCAAGGGGGTTAATCCAGTAGGTTGGCCTCTGAAAAGTTTTCCTGAGTAAGATCCAAACATTAAAACAATCAACATATCCCAAGGCACCTTAGTCCATAAATTATGCTGCCATTTTGGGGGGTCTATTGTGGTAGATTCCTTATAGTAGGATGGCCCCCTTTTCGGGGGTCTCTAGATAAGCCGGCACAGCTCTTATGCTTCAGGGTTTGGGGTCCAGGGTCGATCAGACCGTCTAGGGTTGAGGGTTTAGGGTTTAGGGTTCCCGAACCCTAAACTCCTACAAGAGGGCGAAGAAGTTGGATCAAGCCCCCACTTAAATCGATCCACCGTGAAACAGCAGCCCTGTGCAGGTGTCAGAGCTTCCTTTCCCCGGCAAGTTGTCAGCTTGGCTTGGGTTCTAGGGTTCCCAGCTCTTTAGGGTTAGGGTTTAGGGGTTTGGGGTTTAGGGTTTAGGGTTAGGGTTTAGGGTTTAGAAGTTTAGGGTTTTGGGTTTTGGGTTCAAGGTTTTGGGTTTGGGGTTTGGGGTTTAGGGTTTAGGGTGTAGGGTTTAGGGTTTGGGTTTAGGGTTCTTCTATGTATTTTGGGTTTGGGGTTTAGGGTTTAGGGTATAACCTAAGCTGACAACCTCATAGGTTTCAGCGATGCTTCAGTTGCATTCGACAAGGCAAAGCATCGACGCAATGATTGAATTAAGCCAGGTGCCTGCGGACATAAT